GAAAAAAGTTTAAATGAGTGCAAAAAATGTGGAATTAGCTGAAAAAGCTAAAATAAGCATAAAACCAGATAGTAGCTGAAATAAGAGCTGAACTTTGTAGAAATAAGCTGAAAGGAGTGTAACAAGCTAAAATTAGCAGAAAGAGTCTGAAAGGAGCACAAAACAGCTGGAAAAAACTGCTGAAATTAGCTGAAAGTAGCTGAATAAATGTTAAAATATGCAGAAGGAAGCTGAAAGAAGCTGAACCAGAGCAAAATGTGACAGGAGCAGTAAAATGTTGTAAACAGATCTAAAGATATGAAGGAGGGAAAATGAGCTCAATTCATTTTCTATGAGATAAAAAGTGGCAGAAAAGGCTAAATATTTCTAAAAGCTAAAGTTGCACCAATACCAAAAGTCATAGCAGGACTGTCCTGAAAGAACATTTTGATTTATGATTTGATGAAATAGCACAAAAATTGTGGAACTAGAAAGATGCCAAAAAAAAGTACAGAAGAAAAATGGATCTCAATAGTGTGGATGCTTCATAAGCGTTCAGAGTTTTGAGAATGTAAGAATCAGCTGCAGAAACTTTGATGTATTCCAACAAAACCAGCTCCACTTTTCAGATCGTAGGGGAGAAACTGGTCTGGCCGAACTGGCGCTGCTCAGATGGTTCCTTCAACATCTCTACTGTGGACCACTAGCTTGTAAAATGGACATTTCTATCACCTGCCTTGCTGTGTTTCAATTGGGTCTGTAGCGTTAGCAAAATATCTCATGAACCAGTGGACACCTATGAATTAACTTTCAGAAAGTCCTCGAATGAACTGATTAACATTTGAAGTCTGCGCCGTTCAAGATGGCTGCCACAGCTACTCAACCTTAGCATCACAACAATGGTGGAAACTGCCAATTGTAGCAGATACTGAATTAAAATTTGGTGTGGTAGTAGCTGATACTCTTCCTCAACACATACCCAGAGCAAGAACTAAATGAGCTAGATCTATATGTAATTTTTTTTTTTAAATTAACTATTGCAAGCAACTCTGTCTGTTAGCAAAATATCTCAAAAACCACTGGACGGATTTGAGTGAAACTTTGAGAAAGTAATGAATTGAAGTACACTGACCAACTTGTGAGCTCAGCCCAATTCAAGATGGCTGCCACAGCCAAGTAACCGTTAAGAAACAAAAAATGTCTATAACTCAATCAATATATAATCG